CCACTGCCAGCTGCCCCTCACTTCTTCAAAGACAGTGAGTGAGGTCAGCCCTCAGGCTGTCTCTCGGGGTCAGGCCCAGTGTGAGAAGGCAGCAGATTCAGCCCCTGAGGAGAAACCGGCCCCCAGTAGTGGCTCCCCAACATCTCAGGCCTCTAGGCCTCGTAGACGAAAGTTCCCTCTACTGCCACGCAGGCGAGGGGAGCCTGTGATGCTGCCACCTCCCTTACAGCTGGGGTTCCGGGTCACCGCTGAAGACCTGGACCTGGAGAAAAAGGCCGCACTCCTGTGCATTAACAGTGCACTGCGGGGTGAGCCCAAGGCCATCTGGGACTGCAGAGCCTCACTGCCTTCCCATGCTTTGTTCTCACCGGCAACAGGGACGTCTTCTCTGCCTGCTGTCCCTAAAGCACCCAGCACGGATGCACAGCAGGAGAGACGCAAGTCCCAAGATCGCCTGGACCCCTTGACCCTCCTAGCATCTGCTGCAGGGTCCCCCTCTAGACCTCCTGTGTCTGGGAGGAAGCACAGGTCAGCAGGCCCCCTGTTCTCCTCCTCAGACCCCCTTCCTGCCACCTCTGCACACTCCCGGGACTCAGCCCAGGCCACCTCGCTGATTCCTGCTCCCTTCCCAGCTGCAAGCATGGACCGCAGCATGAGAAGCCCAAGACCTGGCACCTCTGCTGCTGCGGCTGCCACAGGGGCCCTTGCTCCCTCTATATGGAATCCCACGAAGGGGTCCCCACTGAATGGGGTGCAAAGAGGCCCTTCCCATCCCCAGGCATCAGCCACAGCAGCACCAGGTGCCCAGGACCTGCCTGCTCCCGGCCTGCAGGTTGCTGCATCTGGAGCCAGTGCCACCCCTACAGCCAGCACATCTGCTAACCTGGCACCCCAGGCGGCACGTGACTCTAAGGTTACCCGCTTAGACACCAGTCTCCGTTCCCAGCCTCTCCTTCCGGGGCCTCCTGCTGGCTGCAGTGTAAGCCTCCTCCAATCTCCCCAGGCCCACTTGATGCCCCGTAATCACAGCACAGCCACAGGAAAGGAAACCACCACCCTGGCCAGACAGAGGGTCAGTGGTCCCACGTCAGTACTGAAACTTCCCGTTACCGCTGCTGCCACCACCCAGCCCAAACCTGTGGTCCTTCATGGACAGCAGCAGGGAACCCGCACCTTGACGCGGGCTCATCCATCTTCAGATCCAGCTGCTTCCGCTGCAGCCCAGGCCTCATCTTCTGCTCCAAGACACCCAGCCCAGGGCACCACAGCACACTCAGCCACAAGGGTTTCCATACCCACCGTTTCCACCTCGAGCACCTCCACCAGAAGAAAGTCTGCCCGGGCTTCAGGCCAGGCTGGGACCCTTCCTGACCCATCTTCTGCCTCTCCCACCACCACCCTGGCCAGCCAGAGGGTCCGTGGTCCCACCTCAGTACTGAAACTTCCTGTTACCGCTGCAGCCACCACCCAGCCCAAACCTGTGGTCCTTCATGGACAGCAGCAGGGAACCCGCACCTTGACGCGGGCTCATCCATCTTCAGATCCAGCTGCTTCCGCTGCAGCCCAGGCCTCATCTTCTGCTCCAAGACACCCAGCCCAGGGCACCACAGCACACTCAGCCGCAGGGGTTTCCTTACCCACCACTTCCACCTTGAGTCCCCCCACCAGAAGAAAGGCTGCCCGGGCTGCAGGCCGGGCTGGGACCCTTCCTGACCCATCTTCTGCCTCTCCCCGTGAGGCACATGCTGCCCCCTCATGCTGTGCATCTGCCAAAGCTATGCGGCTCCGCTAAACACTTGGAAGCAGGACCCCGGCCCCCTCGAGATTGGTAGTTTCTGCAATACAAACGAGCCTGGCGGCAGCCCCAGCTCCCAATTCCAGAAATGGATTCCTCAGCAGCAAAGTGGCAAAGAGAAAGGCCCCAAGCACCACAAGGCAATGCAGCTTCAGGGGGTCTGAACATGAAGCCCCCCTGAAGTGGCAGAGCACCCCGATGGTGACTCGGGGCCCAGCACAAGAAGCAATTCTGTTGGGTGGCACTTTTGTCTTTACTTTCCATCATATCCCTGGGGGACCACTTAAAGAGACACCCTGAATTGCAAGCGGGGACCCCAGTGCCACTGCAAACAAGGCAGGCTTCAGGTGCAAGTCTGGGCCAGCTTCTGACCCTAGCAACCCCACTTCCCACGTGAGGACAGCAAGGAGGCCTTTAAGATTTTCTCGTGCGCTGTCCAGGTTTCTGTTGTACACGGGTCGGCTGGGCCATCCTCCAGCTCATCCTTCTTTATGTCGGACTTTTGAGGCCTTTGTCATAAACTCCCTGCCTAGAGCAAGGTCCAGAAGAGTTTTCTCTAGGTTTTCTTCTAATGTTTTTCTAATTTTGTATCTTACGTTCAAGTCTCGGATCTATCTGGAGGTGATGTTCGTATACGGTGAGAGAAAAGGGTCCGGTTTCATTCTTCTGCATGTGGCTGCAGAGCCCTCCCAGTACCATTCACTGAAGAGGGCGTCCTTTCCCCAGTGTGTGTTTCTGTCAGCTGTGTCGAAGATCAATTGTCTGTGAACATGTGGCTGTCTTTCTGGGCTCTGTCATGTGTCCCATTCATCTATGTGTCTATTTTCCTGCTAGCACCACGCTGTTTAGTTACCAGGCACTTGTCAAAAATTTTGTCTTTCTAATTCGTAGCGAAATGGGATGCCTCCAGTTTTTTCTATTTGCTGAGGAACGTTTTGGCTCTTTGAGCTCTTTTTTGGTTCCATATGCATCGTAGGATTTTCCAACTCTGTCAGTGATGACACTGGCATTTTGGCAGGGGTCGTATTGCATCTCTAGACTGCTTTGGGCAGTACGGTCATTTTAATGCTACGAGTTTCCTCCATCCATGAGCATGGGATGATCATCCATTTCTTTGTCTTATTAAAGTTTTTTATCAGTGTTTTGTAGTTTTTCTTGTAGAAATCTTCCACCTCCTTGGTGAAATATATTCTGTGGCATATCTTTTTTCATTTTGTTGCTACTGTAAATGGGATTGCCTTCTTAATTTCCTTCCCAACTAGACCATTATTGGTGTATAGAAATGCTGCTGATTTTGGTACGTTGATTCTGTATCCTGCAATAACTGTATTTATTTATTGATCAACTCTAGGGGTTTTCTGGTGGAAGCTTTACATGTTTCTAAATCCAAGATCATATCTTCATCAGATAAGGATAATTTGATGTCCTCTTTTCTGATGTGGATGCCTTTCATTTTTTCCTCTTGCCTGATTGTGTGATGTTGAATAGCAGTGGTGAGAATGGGCCTCCTTGTGTTGTTCCTGTTTACAGAGGAAATGCTTTCAACGTTTCCTCATCATGTAATAGGGTAGCTATGGCTTTGTCATAAACAGCTTTCATTATTTTCAGGTATGTTGGTTGTTTCTTCTTTTTTATTTTTATTTTATTTTTATTTTTTATTTTTTATTTTTTTGAGACGGAGTTTCACTCATGTTACCCAGGCTGGAGTGCAATGGCGTGATCTCGGCTCACCGCAACCTCCGCCTCCTGGGTTCAGGCAATTCTCCTGCCTCAGCCTCCTGAGTAGCTGGGATTACAGGCACACCCCACCATGCCCAGCGAATTTTTTGTATTTTTAGTAGAGACGGGGTTTCACCATGTTGACCAGGATGGTCTCGATCTCTTGACCTCGTGATCCACCCGCCTCGGCCTCCCAAAGTGCTGGGATTACAGGCTTGAGCCACCGCGCCCGGCTGTTTTTTCTTTTTTAGATGAAGTCTTGCTCTTTTTACCCAGGCTGCAGTGCAGTGGCGGGATCTCAGCTCACTGCAACTTCCGTCTAGCAGGTTCAAACAATTCTCCTGCCTCGGAGCCTTGAGTAGCTGGGATTACAGGTATCTGCCACCATGCTCGGCTAATTTTTGTACTTTTAGTAGTGATGGAATTTCACCATGTTGGCCAGGCTGCTCATGAATTCCTGACATCAGGTGATCCACTCACCTCAGCCTCCCAAAGTTTTGGGATTACAGGCGTGAGCCACGTGCCCGGCCGTTTTCAGGTATGTTTCTTTTATGCCTAGCGTGTTTGTTCCCTTTTCAGGACATGGCCTCACTCTGTCTTTCATGTCAGAGTGCAGTGGCAACATCAGAGGCGCAGCTTTGAACTCCTGAGCTCCAGCCACTTCAGCCTCCCGAGTAGCTGGGACTCCGGGTGCATGTCGCCAGAACTGGGTAATTTTTATTTTAATTTTTTTGTAGAGATCTGTGTTCCTCGTGTTGGTCTTGAACTGCTGATGTCAAGTGATTCCCCCAGTGCAGCCTCCCAAAAGCACTGAGTTTACAGCATGAGGCAGCGCCTGGCTCAGAGTCACATGTTAACATCAGCTCCTCACTGCCGGGCTCCGATTTTGGGAGTGACTGAAAACCGCAAGGGAGAGTTTCTGGTCAGGCCCTGCCCAGTCTGTGAACTTGGGAAATGGAAAGATGGCATGTAGATGGCTATTTTGGCGAACTGGCCAGACAAGTGCTGAGATGCCGTTTCCTGGAATACAGGACCGTGAGATGTCCAGTCCAGCTGCCTGGTCCAGGGCCCTCGGCACCATCTAGTTTGGGAGCTCACCCAGAAGCGACCTCGGTTGCCCAAAGCAGCTGATCTTCCTACTAATCTGGTCTCATTTGAGAGATGTAACTGGGCCCTGTCCTCCAGGAAACCAATTCTGTGGGTGCCTGTCTTTGTCCTTGCCCTGGCTGGCCTCTCTGTACCATGAGAACTTGGATTTGCAAGGCTCTGCCTGTCAGCTGAGCATCACAGAGCAGCTCTTTTCCGTTCCAGTGAGGATGGCCAGGCTCCTACACCCCTGCCCCAGATCTGACCATTCTCCCCTTCACTAACAGGTGACCTCCAACCCGATCCTATTCTGTCTTCTGGCAGCTGCTCTGAGAAGGGGCATTTTGACCTCAAGGGCTGAGCATGTCACTCCCTGTTTTCTGTTGATCTTTCCAGTGCTGTTTGGGATAGCCCATGCATTTGTTTATGTACTGCTTTTTTGGAAGGCAATCAGGGCTTTCTTTCAGGGGTGGGTCTAAAAGTTCTGGTGAGATTTGTGTATGAAGTCTGCCTTCACTACCTGCATAGGACTAGCACGCTTCCGCTGCACGACTCTGCAATCTTCCTACATTTAAAAAAATTTTTTAATTTTATTTATTTATTTATTTTGAGACAGAGCCTGGCTCTGTCACCCAGGCTGAAGTGCAGTGGCGTGATCTTGGCTTACTGCAACCTCCGCCTCCTGGGTTCAAGTAATTCTCCCGTCTTAGCTTCCGGAGCAGCTGAGACTACAGGCGCATGCCACAACACCCAGCTGGTATTTATATTTTTGGTAGAGATGGGGTTCCCCATATTGGCCAGGCTGATCTCGAACTCCTGACCTCAGGCGAACTACCTACAGGAGCCTCCCAAAGTGACAGAATTACAGGCTTACATTTATTTATTTATTATTTATTTGAGCTGCAGTCTTGAGCAGTCATTCTGGCTAGAGTGCAGTGGCCTGAACTTGGCTCCCTGCACTTCTACCTCCCGGGTTCAAGCGATTCTCCTGCCTCAGTGTCAACAGTACCTGGGTATAAAGGCAAGTGCCACCTTGTCCTGCTAATTTTTCTACTTTTAGTAAAGACTGAATTTCACCATTTTGGTCAGGGTGGTCTCAAACTCCTGACTTCATTATCTGCCTGCCTCGGGCTCCCAAAGTGCTGGGATTACAGGCATGAGCCACCATGCTCCGCCACATTTATTTACTTATTTATTTAGAGACAGGGTCTCACTTTGTTGCCCAGGCTGAAGTGCAGCGGCTCCATCTCAGCTCACTGCAGTCTCTGCCTCTGGGGTCCAAGCGATTCTCATGCCTTAGTTTCCAGAGTAACTAGGACTACAGGTGTGCCCCACCAGGCAGGGATAATTGTTTCTATTTTTTGTAGAGACGGGGTTTCACCAGGTTGGCCACTCTGGCCTCCAACTTCTGACCTCACGTGATCTGTTTGCCTCATTGTATCAAAGTATTGGGATTATCGGGGTGAGCCACGGTGCCTGGCCTCTCACTACATTTAAATCATGAGGTAGTTCACACCTGTAATCCCACCACTTTGAGATGCCAAGGCAGGCAGATCACCTGAGGTCAGGAGTCCAACACCACCCTGGCCAACATGGGGAAAGCCCGCCTCTACTAAGAATACAAAAATTAGCCAGGCATGGTGGTGTGAGCCTGTAGTCCCAGTTACTTCAAAGGCTGAGACAGGAGAATCACTTTAACCCGGGAGGCAGAGGTTGCACTGAGCCAAGATTGTGCCACTGCACTCCAGCCTGGGTGACAGAGCGAGACTCTGTCTCAGAATAATAATGATAAGAATAAAATACACGATGCCGAGACATCTCGGCCCGAGTGCCTGCACGAGCACAGTCATGTCCAGGCAGGGCTGCCAGTCGAGGTCCGGCTCCATCTCATCCAGGAGAAAGGAAGTGAGCTTGCGGGGAGACAGGGGGACAAGATCCCAGGATCTCAGCCTCTGCTCATGCATCAGCTCTGCGACCGAAAGTCAGCTGGGGGTGCTCTGTGTGCCTTGGTCTCCTCAGCTATCAAACAAAGGGATTAAATGAGGAAGTCTTTTCCAGGTGGAATGATCTCAGATTTGGGGCAGAAGTGAATGGTCCTGCTCCCTGGGCCATGACAGTGGCCTGGTCTTGGCTGGACACAGCCACGAGGAATGGCTGGACTCAGCAGCCACACCAAACCCCAGACCAAGCAGAAACCTCCCAAGACTGAGGGGCTTGTGCCAGAGCGTAGGCTGCAGGTAAGAACCTGGGCCTGGGCTGTGTGTGGCAGGAGTCCTCCCTGTCCCAGGGCCCAGCACAGCAGTGGAGCACCAGCCACGTCATCCAGGCAGGATCTGTCCGGGACCCACCTGCAGGGGCAGAACAGCCTCTCCTAAGAGGCGATCGTCTCTCTCCAGGAAAGCAACAGTGCTCCCCGCCCCAACCAGACTGCCCGACTCAGTGGAGTTACTGCTGCTGCTCCAATGTCCTAACGCTGTCCAGCTGGCTCCTGCCTGTGCTCACCCACACCCTCCCCCCTTGCCAGGCCTGCCTTCTCTGTGGCCTGTGCGTGGCCATCTTTGCCTGATTGAGCCCTGAGGTCTCCTGGGCACCCAGCCCATCCCTGCACCGGCTGCTTTCATCCCCACCGGCTCAGGGCTTCTACCTGGTGGCTCTGATGATAAAATCAACATGCTCGCAAGTCATCTCAGAGAACTTTAATGAAAGTGTCGGCAGTTCTTTCTCTCACAGTGGTGTTTAGGTGGATGAGCTCCATTGTAGTTGCTAAGACACCATCCACTTACCGAGAGAGAAAGTCAGGCTGCTTCAAACCCAGAGACCGATGCAAAAGAGCATCACTTGTGGTCAGAAAGTCTAGCAGCCATGCCTTGTGGGAGGTCACACTGGCATCCAGGCCTTTGCCTGCATCACAGGCGAAGAGCCGATTCCCCGTCCCAGAGAACCCTTCGTTTCCCAGCCCTGCACCAGCTTTGCCACTGCACAGGCTTTTGAGACAGGAGGCAGGTAAGAGACGCAGCCTCAGATCAAAGCAGCCATCACCCCTGGGGCCTAGCAGGAAAGGAGCCCTTTAGAACATGGAAAGTGTGCTCATCCCATCGTTAGACAGCACACATCGTACATAAATATAAATTGCATGGGACTGAAGTGGGGCAGGGAATGGAAATCCACACAGACATCGACAGATTGCTTTCCAGTTTCAAGGTGGCAGATGCACATCATAAGACCAGAGGAGACCGAGAGAAGGGCTGGATTTGGCTTTTCTAAGCAACATGTGTTCCCTCGCAGGGCTGGAGGGTTGTGGAGACAGACAGAGATGGAAGTCAGGACAGGGGAGCCCAGTGGGCCCAGAAAGGTACAGAGGGCAGAAGCTCCTGTTCTGTCCTCCCACCCACGAGGGCGACACTTCTTGCAAACAGTGGCTGTGCTCTCCCAGCAAGAAAGAAGCACCACTAAATCAACACTACACACAGACACAGACAGAAAACTTTCACGTGGCTTTGTTTTCTGCCCCCTGCCTCACCAGGTCCACAAGCAGAGAGGAGTGTGAGGCGCATGGCTCCAGTGTCAGACTCCCCAACATGCTGCGTGCTCAGCAGGATCTGCCCATGACACCCAGGGAACCCTCGCCCTCCCCACCTTGGGAGAGGTCGCTGGACAGAGCTGCACGGGGTGCTGGTGTCATCCAGGACCCCACACACTTTCCTGAGTGTGATCCTGCTTCCCTCCTCTGGGCAGCTGCATCCTCTTCTCCTGCAGGGTTTTCTGGAAACTCAGCTCTGGGTTTGTCTCCCTTCTCCCCCTCCTTGCCCCAACCCCCTTTTTCTGAAAAAGTGAGGCAATTGTTTATGAGTTAATTTGTTGAAAATAAGTGGCGGCCTCCACGCTTCTGTTTTCTTTCAGCCTCGTGGTCATGCAGGGTTACAAAGGATGCCGGGGCTCCCACACAGGTGCTGGCAGAGGGGGCGGCGGGTGGTCCTGTGCCTCTGCCTGCTCGGGGAGGGAGGCCGTCCCCCCGCCCCTCGTCCCTAGGCCTGGCTCCTTCCTGACCCTCTGAATATCCTGTAGTCCAGAGACTTCAGAACCCACTCCTGAGAAGAGCAGAGCCAGGCACTTAGAGGAAGACAAAATGCTGTCACTCCAGGATCTTATTAGGTGTTTGAATCTGTTAGGAAAAAAATTAGGAACTATGTATAAAACTTAAAATATTCAAGTATTAAAAGGTTATTTGAATCAAAGTTTTCAAATATGCCATCAGCAAGCTTCTACCACTAAGTGGGGACTTTTACAAAAGTTGAGCAAGTTCCCTGAGTGGAGAGAAAAATGAAGCCACCTGTGCCGGGGACA